ATTGGGAAGGCCAGAGCAGCTTTTGCGAACCTACGTCACCTGTGGCGTAGGCGTGACATCAGTTTCTCTGTCAAGGGGCGAGTTTACAATTCTGCGGTGCGCTCCATATTACTATATGGAACAGAAACCTGGCCGCTGCGCGCCGAGGACGTCAAAAGACTTTCAGTGTTTGACCATCGATGTCTTCGGAGCATTGCCCGAATCTGGTGGGAACACCGGATCAGCAATTCTGAAGTACGTCGAATGGTATTCGGGAGAAATAACTCACCCTCGATAGATGAACTGATCACACTGCACAGGTTGCGCTGGTTTGGCCACGTGTTGCGTATGCCAGTCGACCGACTTCCTCGAAGGGCTCTTTTCGCCCAACCATGTGAAGGGTGGAAGAGAGCCAGAGGCGGTCAAACAATGACTTGGCAGTGAAGTATGAAAGCCATTACCAGCAAACTCAGCTGCGCTGGTCACTGCCGTCTTCCTGGACGGGGACCCCGAGACGGGCCACAGGTCAAAAGTATCTATCTGAGTTAGCTCAACAACTCACTACGGTAAACCAATACAGTATTTGCACCGCGCACGTGGATGAAGCATGGTAAAATGTGGAAGGGGCGGTGTTCAGTGCTGTCTGTCCGACATCTGCGATACAATCAAGTGACCACTGGATATAGTCGAGACCGCTACCCCTGACTGACGCAAGGAAACCATAAACAAGTAATGAGTATGAAAACGCATACAAATCTACTAAACGCCAAATAGTGAAGAGCCTAAGGGAAGACCGAGAGCTGAAATGGACACCCAAAGCTCGGGTAGTTTTGATACCGGAAACAGTCGTGCCTTATATCAACTGATACGACCGACTGGCCTCAGGAAAGCCACGACCAGTAAAACTGTAAGTGAAAAAAAGCGACTCAACACCGTCTACTGGAAAGATGAGTCGAACACTTAGAGAATAGTTTGGCTCGGCCTCTTGCAACAGTCTCTGGAGAGTGCATACGGAAGAATGAAATGTAAACCATAATGACCCGCTCAAATAAAATAAATTACGAAGTATCCGCAGAGAAACGTTACCAGGCACCAGGACTGGACGGTCTGTATCCAATTCTCTTCAGAGGGCGGATAATCATCATCATCATCATCATCCAGCATGACATCAGTGTTCAACACCAATGCTTCACTGCCGTACAACCATGACTTATTTGAAAGCCTTATTTTAAAGAAAAGAAAAGAGGTGGATGGGGGAGGGACTTAGTGCTAGCTTAACACAATCATTCCGAGGTGCCTACACCTCCAGACATTCACTCAGGCAATCTGGATAGAAACTGACAACAAGAACGCCACTGACATCGGTTGGCAGCCATATCTTGTAGTGCCTCCAACCAGGCACAGTGAGGATCACGCGGTCCCAATCCTGGAAGGCGAGTAGCACCGACAGCACC